AGAATAAGTCTCTCGTATTTGGATAAAATCTCTGCAGTACGATGTATGTGGTATAATCACATGTTTTCCTGGAGTAATTAAATATATGAATTTGCCTGAGCAGTGAACAGTAAGTACTGGTTTAACTGAGGAGAAAACCCTTTCTTCAACATTCACTTTTTGGCACGATGGCTAATACACAGAGTAGGAAGAGAACGCACGGGAGCACAACTCCAGGGACTGTTTCTAATTTATAAAAATTATTTTATTTTAGCTAAAATAGTAATTGGAGTGAATATTTTACGTTTATGTCGCTTATGTGAGAAGCACAAAGTTCAGTTGCCTTTAAAAGAAATTTCTTCTGTGCCTTTACTTACTATAGATTTGCCACATATAATAATTATTCAGTTTTCCGATAGGATAAATTTCACAAATTTATTCTGGTAATGTGAACTCTCTAAAGGAAGGTTTAGGATGAAGAAAATATTCAAATGTATTTGCATGAAGATCTCATCACGATGAAGCAGTGTGTTGTGATTAGAGGTATTTCTGCTGGAAGATTGTTTGAGGGGGCGCCTGTTAACGGAGGGTTCCCAGACATCCTGGCTTCCCTGCGTCAGTCCAGGTCCGCTGTTGTACCGGAAGTGACTGCACTTCAGCATTTGATTTTGACTTTGACTTTGCATACCCTTTGGACACAGACAACAATGTGGTGAAGACGGGTGGGGAGTGGCTGGGGGAGGAAAGGGGTAAAGAGGGGGAAATGGAGGAGATCTGTAACAGCATTAACAATAAAAAAAAAGAGAGAATGAAGTAATGTCATTAATAGTTGCAGTAAAATCAGTCTGCATGGGTTTGATAAACCTCCACCTTGTATTTCCACTTGTCTGCAGTCTGTCCTGGAAGGTGTGAGTTGACTCGTGCATTGAACAGAATTTTCACGTAGTTGATGAGTCTCAAAGGCCATGTGGAGTAACCTTTCTTTTCTTTTCCTTCCTGATAGCCTCCTTTCAGGGACAGGTGGATTACTCAGCTGATACTGGGAGCTGGGGGAGGGCGCTGGGGACAGTCAACTCCTTCAGGTCGGGCAGTGGTGGGAAGTCCAGGACTCTGCAGCCCCTGGGAGTCATGGGGAGCACCAGCGGGTCGTGTGGTAGCCCACCCGCATTTGGCTCATAGTGAAGCTGCCAGGCCAACACTGAGTTGGTGGGTGAGTGGAAAATGGGAAATTGTAATTTAGATGGAGTGACAAAATAGAGATGGAGCAGTTTTTAAAATACTCATTTTTGCTAAAATGGTTTTTGTTATTTGTTACATGATATGAGTCCACAACTAATTTTTTTACTATTGGCAATGCTTTTTTATTTTACTTGTAATAATTATGATTACATATTTAATGATTTGATCATCCCTGGTCCCTCTTCAGAGTGTCCTGCTTTAGACAATGAATGGTCACTGTAATTATAGTTCAGGCAGAGTTAAAGAAGTACAGAATAGAGCAAGGACACTGAACCTAGCCTGGGGACCCTTTTGGTCTTGCCTGGAGTGGATTTTATGATTTTTAAAGGTTGCAAAAAAAAAAAAAAAAAAACCAGAAGCAAAGATGCATATGTTGCAGTGGCCTTCTGTGGCCTGCCAAGTCCAAAACATTTACTATTGGGTCCGTGACAGAAGCGTTCTGATTGTCTGGAGTCAGTGCTAAGTTGGCTGGAAGACTACTCGTGGTTTATCATGAACACAGATTTGTTTTGTTACCAAGTTAAAGTGAAGACTTGGAGATTACTGCGCTCTCATTGGTTCTGGTGTTATAAATGTGTGGTGGAGCAGTGTACAGCCAGCCACAAGCCGTAGTTTGTGACCCCTTTCTGGAACAGAGGCCTCACAGTGCGGTCTGGGGGGCTCCCCGAGACCCTTTCAGTAGGTTTGGGAGGTCGAGTTTATTTTATGATAACAGGACAGCATTACTTTCCTGTTTCACTGTGCTGATATCTGCACTAATAGTGCAGAAGAGTGGGGTGGCCGTGGGGGATCTTGGCACAAATCGAGGGTGTGGCACCGAACTGTTCTAGTTGTTACTGTGTTGCACTTTACTGCCATGCACTCGAAATGAAGACAATGGCCTGGCTAAAGCGGTGCAACCTGATTATGTTTCAGCCCTTGACTATACGCCTTGTCAATTTCTCACCTGATGAAAACACGCATGAAGCACCTCTGCTCCTGATGGTCGCCTACAGCAAAAGCACTTGTATGTAATTAGGTTTGTGAGCTGGAGGACACTCCCTTTTCTCATGGAACGCTACTTTTCCTTAGAAGTATGACTGGAAAACTGTGGTTGTTGGCAAACATTCTCAGAAATTAGTAGAGTGAGTCTGTTACTTTAAGGAAATCAACTGACAATTTCTGTTGCTAATGATAAAATGTGAGCTTTCAAGCAAAAATCAGAAGTTTAGAAAAATTATATCTATACCAAAAGTTTGCTTCCCAGTTCTCAGACTTTTCAGAAGATATTAGTGGTGGCATTAATGAGTATGATTTTTTTAATATAGCGTACTAAAATGTGTCAAACTATCTTTCTTTTTCTTCTTTTTTTCAAGTTCTTTAGATTCTATATTTCCCATACTTTTCTTGCCCTCCCCCATCTATTTTCTACCTGCCATCTATGCTTCTTATTTTCTGTACCTTCTCCCCCCGTCTCCTTCTCCCACTCCCCTGTTGCTAACCCTCCATGTGATCTTCATTTCTATGTTTCCGCTCCTGATCTAGCTGTCCTCTTAGTTTGCTTTTGTTTTAGGTGTGGTTGTTAATAACTGTGAGTTTGCTGTCCTTTCACTGTTCATCTTTTTTATCTTCTTTTTCTTAGGTAAGTCCCTTTAACATTTCACATAATAAGGGCTTGGTGATGATGAACTCCTTGAATTTGATCTTATCTGAGAAGCACTTTATCTGCCCTTCCATTCTAAATGAAAGCTTTGCTGGATAGATCAATCTTGGATGTAGGTCTTTGGATTTCATGACTTGGAATACTTTCCAGCCCCTTCTTGCCTGTAAGGTCTCTTTTGAGAAATCAGCTGACAGTCTGATGGGAACTCCTTTGTAGGTGACTGTCCCCTTATCTCTTGCTGCTTCTACAATTCTCTCCTTCATTTTAATCTTGGCTAATGTAATGATGATGTGCCTTGGTGTATTCCTTCTTGGGTCCAACTTCTTTGGGACTCTCTGAGCTTCCTGGATTTCCTAGAAGTCTATTGCCTTTGCCAGATTGGGGAAGTTCTCCTTTATTATTTGTTCAAATAAGTTTTTCACTGGTGGCTGTTCCTCTTCCCCTTTTGGTACCCCTATAATTCGAATGTTGGAACGTTTAAAGATGTCCTGGAGGTTCCGAAGCCTCTGCTCATTTTTTTGAATTCTTGTTTCTTCATCTTTTTCTGTTTGGTCATTTTTTTTCTTCCTTCTGGTCCACTCCCTTGATTTGAATCCCAGTTTCCTTTTCATCACTATTGGTTTCCTGTGCATTTCCCTTCATTTCAATTAGTTTAACTTTCATATGTTCCTCTAATTTGTGACTAAAATCAACCAGTTCTGTGAGCATCCTGATCACCAGTGTTTTGAACTGTGCATCTGATAGGTTGGCTATTTCTTGGCTGCTTAAAGTTATTGGCTCTGGAGCTTTGAGTTCTTCTTGAGCCATGTTTTGGTCTGTTCGTGCCTGTTATGTATGAGGGGCAGAGCCTTAGGTGTTCACCAGGGCAGGGCCACCCAGGTCGCTGGTTTGTGATGCTGTATGTGGGGGCGAGACCAGAGGGGGGCAATAGTGGTCCCCTCTGCTGCTTCCCGCCGCTGGGGCCTGTGCGGTCTGTCTCACTGCTTGCTCCTTCGCTGGTTTATCTGCACACGCGAATGTGTGACCGCGGTCAGCCTGCTGCCTTTTGCCCTCACTGGGTCTGCCTGTTGCAGCCCCACACCTAGGATCACCAACCGCCAACCACGCGCCTGGGTCGGTCTGGCCAAGTTTTCCTGTGCAACCCCGCTCTGCCAGCCACTGGCTCTGCCCCTCTTACCGGTCTAGCTGAAGGGTTCCTTGTTGTCGGACTTCGGTAGTTTAATTTTCTGTGTTATGGCTGTGTATTTGTTTTACTAAAACTTTGTTGTCTTTAAACTTGGTTGTGCGAGAAGGCACAATGTTTCCACCTACACCTCCATCTTGGCTGAAGTCACTCAAACTATCTTTCAAATGACCATTGCTTGTTGCAGAATCATGCCTGGGTAAAAGATTCATTCAGAATGTAGGATATATTTTAATATGAGTACAAGAAGTTCTTTGATCCAGTTTTAGAGTCTGTATTGCAACCAACCTTTAAGAAATTACCACTTGTTTTATTTGGGTGTCATAATCAGAATAGAATATCTATAATTATCTGAAAAGGAAATTAAAATTAATTAAATATCTCTATGATGCTGGATTTTCTTAGTCTTTTTCAACCAAAACCATGTATTTTTACAAATTAACTATTGAAGTGGCTATGGGAACCAGCTGTCCTCTAGTAAGGCAGCCGTTAAAGAAATTTGTAAAAAATGTAAACCATGGTTGCTTGTCTCACTAAACTTTATATTGTTTTGAAACTATACTTATCTTTAATAAAAATATATAACATATTCATGGAACAGATTCTTTTTAAATGAGTTAATATTTGAAACTTTTCCATTTTGACTAGTAATATGGTGGATATCAGTGAGTATAACCCACGTAAACAAAGGTCTTTGGAGTTCCACTCCATGCTTTTAAAAATGTAAAGGTCCCAAGACCCAAAGGTTTGAGAACTGCTCTCTGGGGTTTAAGCAATCACTTTATTAGCACATTGACATAGAGTGGTTGAAACTATTTTTATGAATAAGTAAGCGTACAACAATCTCATTGGAAGTCATTTTTTGTTGGTTCTATATCATCATGATGATTTCACCAGCTACTTTCCTTTTTGCCTCATAAGAAAAACCTTTTCAGTTCTTTCTCCCCTCTTTTCCAGTTCTCACAGCCATGCTCAGGTGAAAACAGCCCGGCTGGAGGCTCAGTCTGAAATGGGGAACACTGAAATTCTGGAAAGGGAGCCCTTGGAGAATCTCAGCAATGGCACCAGCAGCAACGTAGAAGCTGCCAAAAGGCTGGCCAAGCGCCTTTATCAACTGGACAGATTCAAAAGGTCGGACGTCGCAAAGCACCTCGGCAAGAAGTACGTTCTGTCCCGAGGCCTGTCATCTGTGTGCGTGTGTTAATATCAGCTTTGATATTAATAACCAAGTCTATTCTTTTTCCTTGTAGCAATGAATTTAGCAAACTGGTTGCAGAAGAATATCTGAAGTTTTTTGATTTCACGGGAATGACGCTGGATCAGTCTCTCAGGTAGGATGAAACATCGCTTCCATTCGTTTGTGCCTCCATCGGATTTCTCCAGAGAAGAGAAAGTAATGTGCTGAAGCTAAAACCTGACTTTGTTTTCTTAAACCCACTGTTACTCTATGAATTTAGCTCAGATTGTACTAACGATATTAACTGTACTATAAAGTGAGAAAATACACACTGGGTTGAGGAAATCCCAGGAACTCATGCTCTGCGTGACATGGTAAAGAATGGTGGCAGCAGAGGTCTTGAGGAGAGGTGGCACCTGTGGGAATTTGGCTTTTAGATGATTAGTTTTTTTAAAGGCAGTTTACAGACTGTAGAATTTTAGATATTTTTCCTAAGCATTTGTTTACCATACCAATTAGACTTTTAAGACAGTACTTTAGAATTAACTCATGAATGGAATAAAAATGAGTATCAACATAATAACCAGCAGAAAGTATCAGTATAAGTGGTCAGGCCATGACACTTTTTTGCTGACCTGTTCAGATGAAGGCGTCTTAAACAGATGGCTCTTCACTCTCCACACCGCATTGCGCTGTACATTTCTAAGAGCAGCTGAAGGCAAAACCCAGTCGGCGTCTAATCTTACGAAGTTTATCACCGGCCGGAGCCTGGAGGAATCCTGAGGTCACCTGCATAGCTGTCTAGTGTCACACATCAGATACTGAGGCCTGGGAGGTGGAGTGAGGGTGTTTGGGTTATAACGCACACAGGGACTTCTTCTGTGGCTCTTTGCATGAACCCAGCATACTCGTAGGTTTCGCAGTGAAAACAGGTAAGGGAGAGATCTGTAGTTTTGTTTTGCTCTCTTATTATTTTTAAAAAGCTGAAAAAAAAATTGATCAGTGTAACTTAGATTAACAAACTATAAGGAAAACAGCAATATTTTCATCATAGAAAAAGGTTTATTATATGTTTCTTTCAATAAGATTTCTTAGAACATTTTAAATGACTTTTTTCCTTCCCATTTCATGTTTTGGAGAAAACATCTACTTTGTCAACTGAGGAACCCCTGGATTTATCTATAATAGACAGTCCTCTCTCAGTGCCTCTGATTTAGAGTAGTGTGTGGTTCTAGGCGTGTTTTCTGTTGTTCAAAGAAGTTTTAGACTAAATAAGGGCATATTTTCTATTAGTCAGAGAAGTTTTAGACCAAGTAAATTGATTTATTCCTAATTTATGGAGTAAATTGAGTTTTATCTCTCAATTTCCTCCTCATGTAACAATTTAATAATGGGGAGATATAGACAAAGTAAATGAACAGAAATCTACTGCACAAGATGATAAAATAGTAATTTTGACACCGGGTCAGTGGCGATGACAGTCATGTAACAAAATGACAAAGAAGCTGTGATCTGAGTAGAGTTTGGAAGCATAGCCTACATGGCTACGCGGTCAGTCCAGTGTCCTTTGGGCCTTGTCCAGCTGGTCTTCTTAACTGGCAGCCTGACACTTGGTGGTATGGGGAGATCACCTGCCTTTCCCAGGCTTTCCTTGGCATTACAGCCCTGTCATCTTTTACTTGAACAGCCAACAGAATTTAAATGTCAGTACAGATTTATGCTGAATGGCCATCGAGTAAGTGATTCTTTTAACTAACTGCAGAACACTTTACTTTGTGTAAAATATCTATTATGTCTATATGAATTAACTTTAACTGTCATACATAAAGAATATGGTTAACATTTTCTAAAATTATACTTCCCACCTCCCATTCTTTTTTTTTTTTTAGGTATTTCTTTAAAGCATTTTCTCTTGTGGGAGAAACTCAAGAACGAGAAAGAGTTTTAATACACTTCTCCAGTAGATATTTTCATTGTAACCCGGACACCATTGCTTCACAAGGTAATCTGGTGGAGATGCTTGATTTTTCTTTTATCTTCACACAAGGACTTGCTTACTGGTTTTAGGGAGAAGGAGAGGGTGGGAGATGGAGAGAGAACATGCGAACACAAAGCAGAAACATCGATGAAACATCGAGCGGTTGCCTCTCATATGCATCTCAGCTGGGACCAAACCTGCAACCCAGGAGGCATCGCCCTGACCGGGAATTAAACCCTGAATTTCAGTTTACAGGACAGTGCTCCAGCCGACTGAGCCACACCAGCCAGGGCTTGAAGTTCTTTTTTGTAATAAGGGTTATTTTCCTCATTATGAAAATTTACATTTTGGTGGAAAATATAGAAAATCATACAAAAGAAAAAATAATCTAAATATTTCTATCTATAGATAACTATTATAAATATTTACTTCTTTGTAGTTATTAGTACAATATTTACTTAACATCAAGCTGGAATTGTTAGAGTTGTTTCCTGCTACCTCTCCCGTTTGTTGTGAGCATTTCAATGTGAAGGTGCCATCACGTCGTCTTTAAAAGCGTATTTATTGATCCACGATACTCTGCTCTCCTTTCAGTTATTTTCCTCTAGTTTCCAGGTCCATGGTGTTCTTCACATCACTTACACTTTGTCACTCTGAGGTTTTATGTGCAAAATGTAATAATGAAATTCCGGCTTTCTTACTTTCTTTTCCTAAACATCTGATCTCTAAATTTCTTGATGAAGTGCGTGTGGACTTAGTTTTGGGTTTTGGAAATACTTATAAATCTCCCTGAAGTTTATGGTATGTCTGGTGCTGTTGTTGATATTCATCAGAACAACACTGACACTGACTGGGGTTTATGATTTTAATGAACCATAAGTCTATGTTTATTGTACTATTTTAAGGTAATTTGTAAATTATATTTTGTTGATTATGCTATTGCAACTGTCCTAGTTTTTCTCTGTTTGCTCCCCTCCACCAGCCCCCCCACTCCCTCAGGCAGTCCCCACACCTTTGTTCCTGTCCATGGGCCATGCATTTTAAGTTCTTTGGCTGTTTTTGAAAAGCAACTTTAATTGTTGATATACCCTATGAAGAGTGATTTCTTCTCCATTTCAAGTCTCACAATAAAGCAAAATTTTTAAGGTTTAAAGTCAAGGGCATTTACTTACAATTGGAGAATCTCCCATAAACAGACAAACTCTGGAAGAAATCACTGACACTAGATGCCCCAGAAACGATGATGACCCCTTGGCTTTAGTATTACCAGTCAACTGAAAATACGGGGTCTCGATACTGAGTGGAGTGAGTGCCCCCACCCCTCTGTCCCACAGGTGACAACTGTCTGATTATTAAATCCACATTCTTATCATAAGATGGAAACTTATCTTTCTTATTCCTTTCTTGGGCTGTATTTAGACCATTTATTCACTCTATCACTGTCAACGTTAGGTAGCAAATGCAAGGGACATACGAGGGCTGTTTCTGTTGGAACCTTCTTCAAATCTTAAGACGCTGACACTCCTGAATGGAATAAGGAACATGGATTTGCGCATTCACTTAGCTGTTGATAAGGAAATCTGAGAGTTGGCTGCTGAGTTTGCTTTCAGGAATTTGCTTTAAACATATTTAGAATTTGTGATCATCAACTGAAACGAATAAATATACTTTCAGGCATTTAGTAGCATCTACCAAGAGACATTAATAATAGAAATCTCCTACTATACTTAAAGTCGTACTTTTGAAAAACAGGCTGTCTTTAATTCTTGAGTTCAGTAATTGGACAGGCCTTTCCGTACAGTTAGCATACTTGGTAAGATCTCCCCGAGTCTGCAGCTGTGTGGTCCACTGTGCTTGGATTGAGAACTGCAGGGAGAGAGAGTACAGAGGCAAGTAATTCTGAGCCTGGGAAAGAGAAGCTTAACTCAGTGCTTTTTCTTGTTTTATATAAAGTAAGAGTAATTTTCTGTATAAGTGTGAATCCTTCTGGTTTGAGCAACCCTTTTCCCCCGAATATTTAATTTTTTAATTTTCACAGATTATTTCAGTATTCCGCTTTTGTCTGACTCATAGTATCTTGGACCATTCAGTCTAAATGTTTTCTTGAATGGCAAGATTCATTAAAAAAAGAAGAAGAAGAATAACAGCAAGAAAGAGGAGATAATATTTGTGCCTGTATATTTTTAGCCGGAGAACCGGAATCCAAACAGTAAACTGTGGAAGATGCAAACTGTGGCTTTCTTTAACTCTTGCTTCTTTCCTAACTCACTTTCCTCCCAGAAAGTAAAAAAAAGTAACAGTATTAAGTAATTTATTTTCATGTCTTGTGTTAAAAAAATTGAGAAGGCATAAATTTAAAAAAATTATAGTCTCACTTTCCAGAGATAATAACCTTTTTAAATATTACCTTGCACAGTATTGTAGACGTATTTATATTTAAGAGGAATCATACTGCAGATATGTTTTTCATGTAACAATGTATTGTGAAATGTCTTTCCACTCTACATGTATACTTGGACAGCATTTTTAATTACTTAACATAAAAGAATTATGTTTTGAGGGGGTCATATTTACTTGTTTCCTGTTATAAGCAATGTTTCTTTGAATATCCTTGTATTTTGTGCACATTTTTAGTTGCTTAGTGTAAGCCCTAGAAGTAGATTTGCTGTGTCCAAGGACATTGTTTCAAAGTTTGTAGATATGTGCTCTGAAGTTGTCCTCCTAAGAGGCTGGAATAATTCACTTTATCAAGCAGAGTCCAACTCGGAGGTCTTTAGTGATTTATTCTAATCTAATTCGTGTCTCCCCCAACAAGTAGGATGAATTATGCCTCTCTGCAATATTGTGCTTTCATGGGTTCTTAGTGTAGGCTATTTAATGGTCACAGGAGTCGAACAGGAAATAGTGAGTGCTGTCTGTCCTGTCTTTCCTTAGATGGAGTCCACTGCCTCACCTGTGCAATGATGCTGCTCAACACGGACCTGCACGGCCATGTAAGTGTGCGGTTGTGAACTGTCCGCAGAAACCTGAAGTATCTCGGGCTTCTCTTTGCATTTATGTTCACACACGTTTATTGTCTGCCCTCCATCCCCTCATTCTCTTCATGGCAGGTAAATACATATAAGTCTTCAGAAAAAGAAATAACTTATTTCACAGGCTACCATAGAGTATAATTTCAGGTGAATACCATATTGTCACGTGTCTGGACTTGTATCTGTAATGTGCGTGTTCTCTACCTTCTTTCTCCACTAGATGGCAGAGGCAGAGCTTTTACTTTGATGTTTTTGTTTTGTTTTTTTGTTTCATTGTTAGGGTTGATGTCTTATGATGGGAAGAGAGGATATAAGTTATATCTGAAACTTGAGTTCAGTATGTTTTCACTGAAAACAGTAGAAAATCCTACGAACTCAGTCTTTTCCACACTTTCTACACTCAGCTCACCTGATGTTTTACTGGTTGAAATATCAAAATAACATAATTACTGTCTCATCTTCTATTTAAAATATAGGATGAACTTAAATCTATAAATATATGTATAAACTCTCACCTTTCATAGATGTGAAATTTTAGCATTTACTTAAACTCTTTATATTAGAGAAAATGAGAATGTTTTAGTTCAATATAAATCAATGTGTACTTACATAGCACAATAATTATTTCACAGTCCCAAGCTCATTTATTTTGAAGAGAAAATCAAGTTTCTGTAATTAAAGAGTCAATTTTATCCCTTGATTTGCTGTGTGATTTACCTTACAATTTAAAAAATCACTTTAGAGGAATTGAAACTTAAATGTTAGTCCAAATTTGTTCTCGTGTTCCAAAGGCCTTATAATCCCCTTACTTAAAACTACGGTGCTCCTCTTTAAGAAAGGCAGAAAGGAACATGTGAGGCCATTAAGATCGACTGGGGTTGGGGGGAGGATTCTGCCACCAGAAAAGTAAAGAGTGTAGTGATAGAATCGTAATTTTAACAGTCTTCACAAATCTCACGGTACTTCACTAGGAAGTTCCCTTGGTAATTTCCAAGAGGTGAATTCAGACCGGCTTAGTGGCTTGGAGACATATGTAACACGTGTGCAGAGGTTTTACAGAGTAAAAGTGTAGATGCCCTCGTGCTTTGAGGGGACATTCCTGGGCCATAGAGTGGTAATACATCTTGTGGAAATGAAAGTACTGGAATTCTGACCATTTGAGCCTTCAGTAAGAATCAGGTTCTAATATTCATCCAACTTGTTATTGGGATGACCAGTCAGTGGACTGTCCTGACCTCTGTTCTCTCGTAACCAGTGAAGCAAGTTTTTACTGCTTTCTGCTGTCTTAGGACAACACCTGCGGCTCTGTTTCCTTCTTTCCCTCCCACTCAATTTCTCAAACTAACTTTCAGCCAAAGGAGACACTTTTGAGTACGCTTGACCAGGGGTGCCCAGCCCCTGGACCCTGGACCAGTGGTGGTCTGTGGCTTGGTTAGGGATGGGCTGCACGGCAGGAAGTGAGCGGAGGACCAGCGAGCCATCTAAGCATCCTCTGCATTTATAGCTGCTCCCCATTGCGCACACTACCACCTGAGTTCCGCCCCCTGTCGGATCAGCGCTGTCATTAGATTCTCTCTTAGGAGGGCGAACCCTCCTGTGAACTGTGCATGTGAGGGATCGAGGTTGGGTGCTCCTTATGAGAATCTAATGCCTGATGGTCTCAGGTGGAGCTGAGGCGGTGACGCTGGCACTGGGGAGCAGATGCAAATGCAGGTTATCGTTACAGAGAGGTCGGACTGCACAGAGACCACAGCACATCAGTTGCTTGCAGACTCATATCAAAACCCTAAATGGCAAGCAGCAATTAAGCCGCATCTGGTGGCAGGCTATAAAGCCATCCACCGCCTCCTTGAGTCTGTGGAAAAATTGTCTTGCATGAAAGCAGTCCCTGGTGCCAAAAAGGTTGGGGACCACTGGGCTTGACCACATATCACGTTAGCGATTCCCAGAATGAGGCAACTTTCCCACATCAGCTATTTTGAGGTCTCATGTACATATCAATATGGTCCACTTTGTGTCTGTTGACTGAGAAAATGTGTAATGAAAAAAAATCAGTAACAATTCAATTCTTACTTAAAAGTTGAGGATCTGATAGAATTCTATGGAAGTTGCTAGATCTGTGGGGATTTGTTCTATTAAAAGTGGATTGCTTTAATAATACTTTCAAATAAACATGTGTCTTGTTAATCAGAATAACTCAAAATAGCAGGAAATAAAGGTGTGGGGTTTATCTGTTATTCAGATAACTCGGTGCCCAGTGCTCAGACAAGCCGTGGGCACTCCGGGGCCAGACCCACAGATCTCGGGTGCGCTCTGGCTCTCTCTGCAGGCCGCTTTCTTTTAGGAATCGACAGGAGATTAAATGAGGCATCACACTTTTTTTTGGCAACTACAATATAAGAGACAATTTATTTAAATGAACATTTAAATATTAGCTTGGGTTATGCCAATTATGCATAATTAACAATTGGTTGACGTGGCAGAATTACATGTAAGAGGGAGAAAATTATAAATACAAGTAAATCTCTCTGTGTCATCTTCAGAATCTTGTTTTGGGTGATTATTAGCTCTTAGTTATGTTTTCATAAATGTGTTCTGTATACTTAAGATCATCTGTTTAGGTCTTTTAATTAATGTTTTTAAATCCTTATTTATAATGCATACTGTTACAAGTATGTCGAATATAAGTAGCTATCATAAGAACTAACTATATGAAAATGTGTTTCTCTTATCTTCCTCCCCTGGATTCATTTTAAAAATAAATTTTCCTTCTAGGTGGTAAGTTCCTCTCCATCACTCTGGATGTAGCTTCTCTTGCATCATGAACGCCTGGTTCATTGTTAGAGTGTCTGTGTGACTCATTAGCATGACCCCTGTGAAAGTGAATCACTCAGAATATAAAGCGAATCATTCCCCGCCTCTGTCCTGTTCGCCCTTCTCCTTGTTTTGCACTGCCCAGGCCGTCGCATCATTTCTCATTACGTCCTCCAGTGCCACAGTGATCCTTGGGGGGTTGGACGAATAAGCCACTTTGCTTTTCTTCCCGACATCATGTCATCATAGGGACACACCAGCATGGCCTTCCTTAGAAGTGCTGAGACAGTCCTCATGCTTCCAGCGGGGGAGACGTAACTGGGGAGGTTGACCTCTTTGGGCTGTTCTTTGTGATCTTTCACATGGGTTTCATTTACTGGAAGGAATGAAGCCTTAATATCAGCCTTTTGTTCTTCCTACTAATTTTCTTACTAATATAATGATGGAATGTATACTAATGAATCTAATAGCACTACATGATGAATGCCTTTGTATCTTTCTTTTTCTAATTTATTCTCTCATTCAACAAATTCTCTGCTATTTGGGTAAGGATCAGAAATGAATGAGTCATGTTCATGGAAGTCAAATCTCATTTCTGGTAGCGTTGGCTAGGCTGACCTCCGTGGTCAGGTTTAACCGAAGAAATGGTAGCAGGTGACTGAGGTGCTGTGGTGGAAAAGCACTGCAGAGAGGCTTTCATTACGCATTGGAGCAAGTTAAACCTGGCTAAGAAGCTAGGAAACAACCAGTCTGTCTGAAGTGTAGACAACATTTTGGGGAGAAATTCGTTCAGCTGTTATAATTATCTCATTGGAACTAAGAATGGCAATTTCTTTCAGTACCTATTTTGAGAAATATGAATAATTTTTCATCATCTTAGCAATAGTCTTGACTTGCCTTTACTTGTCTGCAAGTGGTTTATTTTCATAAATATTTTGTAATCATGGCCACATGCCTAATTTGGTAAGTAATCTCTTATTTTTTAAATGCTTCTTCATCATGAAATATATGTGTAAATTAAGCTTGCCCACACAGGTAAATTTCTATTCAAACTAACTCTAGAGTTTGTTTTTCTCTTGCTATGATAAAACTAAGTTATATTGAATTTTGTTTGAATTGTCAGCAAGGGAAGAGTTAAAAATCTTTTTTTGTATTTTATTAGAAATGATATAAACAGAAGAACCTGTCACATTAGAATAAATTCAAACCTACCCTTTTCTGGATTAATCCTCAGACACGCTCACTCTCACCCACAGCTAGCTCTCTGTCCTTTGCTCCAGCCTTCCCCATGGGATCACTGCGGAGGCTGAAGACAGGCAGGCAGGAATCTCTCACAGGGGAGGTCGGAGGAAGTTTTGGAGATAGAACCAGGTTTCGCTGAAGGGTGGAGTAGACAGGGGCACAGTCAGTTGGCCAGTTTCGCAACTGAAAGTGGAAAGATACCCACAAGACAGTGGCTGGCTGCTCAAGGTCAGGCCATGGTTGGAGGCAGTAGTGAGGACATTGTTTTTAATCAAGATTTGTGACAAAAATCTACCCTTTAATATTGTGGCTTGGGACTTTTAGTAGCTCTTCTACCCAAATACTCTCTCTGCTTTTCCGTATTGGCAGGAGCGTCCTGCGGTTTAATGGGTGTAAGGGGGTGGGAGTGTGGTTTTTGTGGAGTGGCCGCTCTCCCCGCCTCAGGCCGGGCGTCCTGCAGACACTTTGTCTAGGGGATGCTCAGAGAGGCTGAACGTTCTGTGTTTACTAAACTCGGTGTTCTGAATTTAATGTAGGAGGCAGGACCTTACTGGCACTTTTTGTGGGTTGGGTTATGGGTTGGGTAAGGGGTAAAACCAAGGCTAGTACCTCATTCTTGTGGCAGGGGGAGGAAGGAGTCAAGGAATGACTTTTTTTGTAGGTTTTGTAACAGAACAATGTTAAAAGATATGCGTAGTTCAGTTTGAGATAGGTTCTAGGAATTCATTATTTTAAATCTGTAAACTGCATTGATAATTGTGAGTTTTTTATCTTAGGTTGTCTCTCTAGGAGCCTAGAATTTTAAGTAATAGGTAAAATATCTGGTTTATTATCAGAAGTGGAAAATGAGTGTTAGAAGAACCGTTATTAAATAATTTTCATTCTTTTGCTTTTCGTATTTCATA